AACAAGTATCGACATAGGAATATATATATTTATCTATCACAAACACACATGATAAATGAGGTCAACTCTTCCTTTAACTCATTGCATCTCACTAACTTATTTTCAATTTCTAACAGAATTACTACACAACTATGTTTGGTACTTAAAAATAATTTTATAGATTCTAATCTTAAAGATAAGATTATCCCAAAAATAATGGTTCTCATGCAACACCAAATCTCAATAATTAAGCACCTCTAGCAGTTATAAGAATAGTGTAAATTCATCCACACATTACTCATCAAATAGGTTAGCTACTCCTATCAAATGAAAATAGTCAAAGAAAAGAATTAACAAAATTGAGATGAAACTGTCACTATTAAAATTTATAATGTATCTTGTAAAACTCAAATAAAACTCAAGTCCGGGTGAGACTTGAGTCGTAGTAGACTTGTCAATCCAACTACTAAAAGAGAATACATAAGTCTAGTCATAATAAGAAGTTAAGGAATCAGGCTACTAACAATCCAAACATCTACCAATCATCAATCAAACTAATCAATCCACACTAAAGCAAACACACTACAACACTAACAATCATAACTCTCTTGCACAATAAATCAAACCACACAAATAACTATGAGTTGCCTCCCATAAAGCGTTTTGTTTAATGTCGTCAGCCTGACAAATGATTCCACCTGGATCAAAATTCTATTTAAGTAATCCTTGATCAATCACCCAGTTTTTTCCAGATCTAGGGATTTTTACAAAGTCCTCAAATTCAATTTTTTCTTTAAGCTCTTCCTTTTCAGATTGATTCATATCATTGTTCCTCATATTTCTTTCTTGATCCAATATTCTTCTAGTGATTTTCTCAATTTTCACATTAATATCATCATTAAATTTTATAAGAAATGGATCTTTATAAGATACCTCATGATCTCGCAAATTTTGGATCGGATTCTCTCTAGGTAATTCAAATTCTGGATCAAATTCTTCTAGGTTGCTCTTTTGTTCAAAGTTGTCTTTCAATTCTTCTCCTTAGTACTGAGTAAATTGTAGAGGTGGTCTTTCTATATTTATCTTAATTAAGGAAATATGTTCTTCTAATTCCTGAGAAATTTTTTCCATTGGTCTTTCAATCTCATTATCCTCATTTCTCAACTCAAAGTTCTTTTGAAGTATATCCTCGAATTCTCTTCTAAATATTAATTCAATAATTTTAAATTGCTCATCATTCAACTCCTTAGGGTTTATCTCAGAGTCACTAGGTAAAATTTCAAGGGGGTAACTGTTAATTGCATTAATAATCTGCTCTAGTTGGTTTTCTATATTCTTTATTGTGATTCAAGGGGGTAACTGTTAATTGCATTAATAATCCGCTCTAGTTGGTTTTCTATATTCTTTATTGTGACTTCTTGATTTTCTAGCTCACTCTTCATTTGAGTTACAACCACTTCTAACATTAATTCATTCTCCTCATTATGTGGGTTGGAGTTAAATTAAGGAGGATTATTAATTCAGTTAATAATCTGCCCCAGTTAGTTTTCCATATTCCTTATTGCGGTCTCTTGACACTCCAACTCACTCTCCATTTGAATAACAACCTCTTATAATAAATATTTCTCTTCATTATGTGGGTTAGTGTTAAATTCATGAGGAAAAGAAAAGTTCATTATCATAATAGCCATGATTATTCCAACTACATGTCCGATTAAATTGATATCTTCCCAAAATTGGTCTTCTCCTCCAAAATTGATATTTCTGTTAAAATTCAAATGATTTTCCCAACCTGAATTGTAATAATCAAAATAAGAATTAAGTAAATCATGACCAGTTTCAAAATAGTTAGGCTTAATCAATTGTTCAAATAAATTTTCCTTAATAACTGTGGTTCCTTAAGGATATCTTTGTATGTATTGATCCAACTTCCTCTCAATATTTACAACATGAGAAATTAAAGTTGTAAGAATATATTCTTGTGAATTTGCCACTCTCTTTAGGTTTACTCTTTCAAAGCTACTAGCATTATAATCCAAATCTCAATATTCATTATCTCAATATTCATTATACCGTTGATCTGTCATTTCAACATTAAATTCATGGAGTCGTTTCAAATCTCTCTCAAAAGTTATCTCTAAATCTGACTCGCAAAATTCAAGGTCTGCAACTCATGAACTACACATACAAATCTAAAGACTTAACTAATATGATAGATATCAAAAATATTTTTGGTATTTTGGATTTTTTTTAATTAAACACATAATACTTAAACATACTATATAATAATACTATAAATTCCAAATCTAAGTCTTACATGTTTAACTAATGGTTCAGACTACCCCGAATAACGAAACGGACTGCGCCAACGCGTCCTAACAGCGCCAAAAACTTGATGCGCTCCTACTGTGTGTTGTTTTTCTGTGTATTTTATGTCAATTTAAATCCCCAGTAACAGTGTCAGGGTGAAGAATATACGAACGATAGTTATAATAATATAATAATAATTATTATTATTATATAATATAATATATGATGTTATAAAATATATAAAATTGTTCACACACTAGTGGTTTTACGCAAGTGCACGTATCGCTTCAAGTAATATAGAGCTTTCTTTAAAAATCCTAATATCGATCCCACAGAGAAGCACAGTAAGAAATTTCTTAGGCTAATTCTAGTCTACTACTATAAAGTCTTAGTTTTGAAAGCTGGAAATTCTTATGATAATAACTTAAATCACATTATTCAAACTATTAAAATTAAAGTATGAAAGAGAAGTTAAGATAGTTTTAATGAATGCTAACATAAATGTAACTAAAAGAACTATGTTTACTGCATTAATTTCTAAACTAGTTAGATCTGAGTCAAATGTAGTCCAAATAAAGTCATTAAACTACTTTTGAAAGATTCCAGACACAATTGGAAGGTCAAATAGATGCCGACACTAGCAAGCCTATACTCAAATCGAGCGTCTGGAGAAGACGAATCCAACGAGCCCAAAATCACTTAATTCTGACATCATTAAGACATTCAAATGTCCATTAAACACCGTATGATGAAAGGAAATTTTTTGAACCGTCCGATCAAAATGGTTTATATTACTGCATTAATTGCACTCATAATACTATAAATAAACCCCTACCCCTCACATGAGAGGGAGCTGAAGCCTATAAAGAGAGCTTGAGGCCATGATGAGGTGTTGTGGCTCAGCATCACCGCCAACCGATGATGATCACCGTCGACCACCGCTGACTGTCGTCGACCAATGCCAACCATTGTCGACACCACCAACCAGACGTCATCAGTTAATGTTATAATTTGGAAAATATTGTAACCATTTAATGTCTGTGAGACAATAGCTCATCACTACGGTCTATGTGCCAACAACGACCTACGTGGTCATTAGCTCCTGCAGCTCCCGACTCCGCCCCCCGTAGCTTACGAACGTCATTCATATTCGTCCCAACGTTTTGCGTGGTTCACAGCTCGTGTAGCTACCGACTCCAGCTCCCGCGGCCTATGGTCGTTATTTCATACTCGCACCAACGACCTACGTGGTTCATAGCTCGTGCAGTTCCCGACTCTGGCCCCCGCGATATACAGATGTCAATCATACTCGCCACTACAGTCTATGTGGTTCACAGTTCCCGCAACTGCTTGCAATAGTTTCTCTAGCCAATCAAAGCTTATGGAGCAAACATAAACAACACTCACAGCAAATTACTACCTCCACAACAATCAATAATAACCCTTGCAACATGCTGTCACAAATAACTGCAGTCAGATTATAGTTATACAAATTTGTAATTCCATATTTTCTAATTTAAGATAAGCATGAACATGTGTATTCATCATTTATAGTGGATTACTACAGCTGGGTTAGATCCCGTAGTTTTTCTCCCTCTCAAGGGTTTTCCATGTAAAAAACCAAAGTGTTTTCTCTTGCTTATTTCTCTTCTTTTATCTCTGTGTGCTGAATTCTCGTGCAACACTAAGACAATAATTCATTACTCTACCGCCGCGAATTTTCTAGCACGCATCAATATGTATCATAATGACATTAAAATTGAGTGACATAGGTCTTATTAAATTTCAACCATTAAAATGCTCTTCTTTATTTATAAGCACACATGATTTGAAGATTGTTTAGTACATCGAATAGTGCCATCAAATTTTTAATTATATTTTAAATGCTCGATTCCAGTTTATTTCAACATATATCAAAATAAGTTTGACGTA